TTTACTACTTTTTTAGTAGACGATTTCTTAATTTTTTTGTATCATCATGTATCTATAACACAAACAGATATATAAGACAAACAGTGAAAACAAATTTCTATGAATCAATGCTTCGTTTCGCAGCTATACTAATATTTCATTATATGACTATATGATTTTTATTACTGATTCACATCCACTACCTATTTTTAGTTAAACAAATTAATATACCAAATTATTGTTCGATCAAAGTCAAAATAATCTCACCCCGCGCAGGGCGCGGGCCAACACCTAGTGTTATGAATAAAAGGCGAAACTTCTTTCAGTAGATAAGGCTAAACTGAAAATTCTAGTAATTAATACCACACTACCACATGGTCTTCAAATTAAAACTTGTTGTTTGTCTATGCGGTTGGGTTCTCTGTATTTGGTTTATGTGCATATCTGACTCGTACGAATTAATCGAGAACAAAAACAAGACAATCTTACTATATACTCCATATTTTTCATAAAGAGTGTTATTTTAACCTTTTTATTTTATTTCAATATAAGTGCCATTATACATTTCCAATGCATACTTTTACATTATATCTCTCTGTTACCCTTTTAAATAAGTAATAAATATTTAGCTATATCATTTTTATTTAAGTAATTGTATAATAAATAAGGATAAATTTATATATATATATTTTTTTTTTAATATGTGTGCAGTGGCGGCCCTGAGCAGAAGCAGGGAAAGTATGGGCTTCCGGCCGCCACAAGATTACGTATTTTATCGGCCACAAAATTTTTCAAAAAGAAACTTTATCTTAGTGGTCATGAAGTTAATGGCTGATGTTGGAGGTGTTGGGTTCAACTACCCAAGACTAACCGAACTTATTTCGGCCTTTTTTTTTTAATTTAAGCTTCTAGCCTTCAAATATATAGGACCGGCACTGTATGTGTGTAATATATCTAAGTGACACTTATAATGAAATAGAGGGAATATTAAATGAGAAGTCACTTAATTGATTTTATTTATGTGTCAATCATATATGAAGTTTAAGAAAATTGTTATAAATTGATTGGTTGATGATTTTTAGTTTTTACTTCTTTTAATCAAATCTAAAAAAGACAATCATAGAACCAATTAATGTTAGTTTCCAAATATAATCTTATGCATAATCATTTTTAATATCTAACTCTAGCAATTATAAAAAGTCTATATAATACTTCTTCATTTATACGTATTCACTAATTAAATGAGTTTAAAATCTTCATAGTATATTTTATAGTATATAAAATTTTATAAAATTAATGGTAGCTAATTTTTAAAACTATAGAAAGTGTAATAATATTTGATTACTTATTTTCTTTTTATGCATTACATAAAAACGAATATAAAATCATTTATAACAATCTATACTATATTAAAAGGGCAACACCAGCCAAGGAGAAGGTGTCCATGTAAGCAAAAATATTCGGTCAGTAAAAATATTTCGATTTGCCATGTCACGGGACTGCTCTGTTTGAACTTCAAAAACATAGACCTTTTGTTTATTTTATTTCTTTTAACCCATTTGGCATATCCAGGAAATGAAACACTGCGTTTTTTTTGCTAGGATTGCAGAAGATTTCTTCGTCGCTTCTCCATAGTTCTTCGCGATTACTATTTTTAACCGAGATGTTTCATCTTCTTCATCGCATCACCAAAGGTTGACAGTTACAGATTGATCCTTATGATTGACAAGAAGGGATTTCTAGGGCGGATTTCCGCGTCTTGGCGACAACTTGCTCCATTTACCCTTGATCCATCGAGAAAGAAATCAATCTTCTCTCAGGAACTCACGAAACCACATTTTATTTATCATTCGATGACTTTTTATAAATTAGTGCAAACAAGTATAATTTAACTTATAAGCTGTAATAGTTAGTTAGAGATATGTTTGTTTCTCATTGTCACTGAAAACATTTGATAGGCATAAATGAAAAAAAAATTATGGAAAATATGTATTCACGGTAAAGATATACATACGGTTCACACCTTGCATGCATCTATATTCCAAGTTAGTTATTTGAGCATGGATGTGCAACGCAATATAACATCCAAAATACGTGTTGGAAGTTTGACTAAGATTAAACGCAGAAATAGTCAGGTGTGATACAGACTAAAGAGAATGATAATCATAATACAAAGGGTTTATCTTCTGAATGAAAAACGTTCGATGGTCTAATTTAAAAATTAAAACATATATGAGAATGATATCATTAATAAGATAACATATTGAGCTTTAACATGTGGTACATGCATAAGTATTATAACTAGTGTATATTGCGTTTTTTTTATATTACGTATTTTCAATATATTTTAGCCAAAATATATTTTAATTAATATTATTATTTTTCATTTAGACGGAAAATTTTAAAATATACCACTTAATTTATTCAGAGGACCGTATTTTATGGAGTCATAAATATTTTAAAGTTAATTTTAATCATATATGTTTGACGATTTTGAACTTTATAATTTATATAATAGGTATTGAAAAATCAATGTTTTCCTTAATCCATTTCTGAATTTAATATTAGAAATTACGTTATATAATCTAATCTTAACATTTTGGAAAGAAAATCTATCCTTTATTTTTAAACCTAGAAGAGATGTATGACAATGCGAACATATCTTTATTAATAAGAACAGTAATACAATTGAAAAAACTTAAATAAATACAAAACTAATTAAAAAAAAAAAAGGATGGTAAGTAAAGGTAAACCTAAAAATTTAAAACAAAGTTCAAAAACGAAAGAGCAGAAGATCTATTTGTTTCTAATGTGGAGGTCTTCAGATTAACGATTTTCACAACAACAAAAAATACAAATAGATTTGAGAGAATATTATTATGTTTTTGATATTTCATTTTGAATTTTTTTTTCTGCATGGAAACAAAAGTATTTAACATGATTTCTGGATCTTTTTGAAAAAAAAAAAAAAATTCACGATTCTCTTAATGTAAATTACTCTTAGATTTCAATTTCTGTTAATTTCGCCACTGTCTTACCACATAAAAAAAAGAGTTGTATACATTTTAGTACTAAAGAATCAATAATCACTAGTTAAAATTTAAAAACACATATTACTTGATTTTTATGTAGCCCTAAAAAGAAATTTTGAATTATATATTAACTTAGCCATATTTTCTTAAAAACTCAAATAAACGTGACAAAAGAATAATTGAATTCTAACTATTTAATAAAACATTACTCAACACATGCCTAAAAGCTTATATGTACTTTATGATATTAAATTTCAATAGTTTCAAAATTGTAGTCACCAAAACCAACAAAAAAACTTCAAATAACTGATATAATGTAGTTAGTCTAAATATAAAATATATATACTCAAATAAAAAATAAATTAAATTAAATTAAAATTTATGGAAAAAAAACCGGCATAGTCCGGGAAAATCTCTAGTAGATATAATGATTTCATATTCATATAAAATTATAGTCGTATCCATAATAATTGTTAATCTCTTATAATGTATGCTTTATAAATAATTAGGATTTAAAGATTGGACGGATTATTTTAATGAATCATGTGAGAAATTTGATTTAAAAATTTTTTTTGTGTTGAAGTCAAATAATATAGTGTATAAAGTAATGTTATGATTGAAATAATTGTAAGATGGAGTTTTTGTTCATTGATTGTATGTTTTGTATTATCATTGGTAAATAATTTTATATCAAGTTAGCATTAGGGTAACAAATACATCACTGCCAATATTTTGACGGAATAGTTGTGTTCACACGTGTATTCGTACTTCCTCCGTCTAACACCGAAGGTGACAAATAGTAGTTGGTTTTACGCGTTGGATCTAATTAATGATAAGTTTTACCTTATTTGCTTAAACTTCATAAGTTTTACACTTATTTTCATAATCTTATTTGCTTAACTTATTTTCATAAGTTTTACCCTTTTATTCATAATACTATTAAACTTCTTAGTATAATTCTTTTATCTACTCGTATACACTATTCTTAGGCAAAGATCAAAATAACATGTTGAAGTATGTTGTTATCTTCAAAGCAAAAATGCACTTGAGCACAAGGGTAAAGCTTTCAGACTGAATTCCAAATTATATAAATCACACCAACAGAAGATAGAAGTTAAAATAGGTTTGAAAAACAAAAGGATGGGAAGACCAAACAAATATATGTAACAACTAAAACTGGATTGACACAGATCTTTTAAATCAAAGCCATAATTTAGACCTAAGCATATCTTGAACCACAAGTAGCCAAACGAGAGGTAAAACTTACATTAATAGAGAGAAAAGTCGGTTTCTTCTACTTACCAGTTCTCAAGTTGACGGTGATGGGATCGTGAGAGAGACCTCTCTCATGTAGAACAGCCAAGACGTGCCAAGTGCTTGCGGAGTACGGAAAGCCATAGATCTTGTACCCTGCAACTTTATACTGTATACTACGAAGAAGAAGAGTAAGAATAAAACACATAATATTATTCGTTTGAGAGAATTTACTTCGAAACATCAAACAGAATTATAAATCACATTTCACTAATATTTTGCTAAAAAAACTAAAAAATAAAAAATGTAGGTGTTAATATGCTTACCTTCTTTGTGAGCTAATGCAAATGGTTCATTAGAAATGGCCATCATCACCATGAGAGAAAACGTTACCAACAATCTAGAGAAACTCATTTTGCTACTACTCTCTCTCTTTCTGAACTCAAATGCTGTTTATGTTTTCTTCTTGAGATATATTTGGTGTATATAACCTCACACATTGTCTAATTTGCTTGTTTATAAAGTCTCAGCCCAAAAAACCAATCTCTCTGGAAAATATAAAACTTGACGCTGTATTATTGTTTCCAGTGAAAGAATCAAAAGACTTTATAAACCCAACCAAAAGTATATGTCTACTAGTATTATATACCTTATAGCTTTTGATCATGTTCATTTTTACATGTTTCCTATCTTTTTACATATTATCTGTCTACTGTTTTTGTAACTATACTGTTTTCATGCTGCACTATGTGTGACTAATGGTGGATACTTGAGGTTTCTCAGTTTAATAGATTGCTGTGCGATAAGCCTAGCTGTAGTATTAGGACCTTGCTGCATGAAAACTTCGTACCCATCACCTAACAGACCAGTTCTATAATTGGTCGTATGTTGCCAGAAAACTCCACCAGTACACGGACCACATGTTCTTGCACTGTCGTAGATCACATCATATACTCTCTTGAAAAACTTGTTCTGTTCCTCTAAGCTGAAACCAGGAAACTTCGAAGATTTTCCAAACTCTGTTATCAATAAAGGCTTCTTGATGATGTTGTCACAGTCTTAGTTGTGTGCTTCAATCCATTTGTCCACGAATTCATCTTGTTCCCCTGTTCTTGAGCTCCGTAGTAGTAGCCTGATCTTGAAAATGTAGACATGAATTGTCATCAGAGTAAGATCCATCTACCATCTTCGTGTTTACATGAATTTCTTTCTTCTGATTTGTTGCTACATCTGTTATGGCCTTGACCAAGTTCGGGATCTACACTTCACCATTCGGCAGGGCCTACACCAACAGAGTCATATAAGCGAACAGTCTTCAAATCAGTTCATGTTAGAGATTGGAAAGACAAACAAACCTTTTCCTCCTTGTCATTCTTGTTGCATCTCCCATTGTTCTCTGCATATACAATCCAGTACAAGAATGAACAATAAAAACCAATCATGATAATACAATTTTCAAAGAGTGGGTAGGGGATGTATAAACCATACCTCAAATTGTTGTTTTCGCATCTTAGAACCAGCACGGATAGTTTTGAGGAGAGAATCTGATCCCTTGGAGGAATAAGTTTCATAGGAAAAATCATCGGGTGGGGAGAATTGAGCATGAATCAAAACAAGTAAGGTTTTTCACCATATCTCTTTTCCAACGGTTTGGGTGATGGCTTGAACAACTTGCTTATCTAGCTCATCCACTCAATAGACATCCAGACGATCAACATACAGCAACACATCTATCGTTCTATTCACAAGAAACCTGCCACCAAAATCCAAACATAGTAAGAGTAAGCACCAAACACACACAAAAATTACAAACATAATGTACTTCTCAAAAGAATACTACTGACTGACTGACCCTTTGATTAACTCGAGAGCTTGGTTATTAACATAACCAGCTTCCACAAGGCCAGGGGTGTCAATAATGTTAATAGTGAAGCCACCCATTGTTCTTGAAACCATCACTGGCCTCCAATCAAACCGAGAATTTGTGAACTAGGTCACACCCTTGGACACCCATCCACCAGTTGGCAGTAACACTGCTTAAATCTATACCATTTATAATAAATCATCCTGAAAATCTAATTAAAAAGGTTGTTTTGCATCATTTCATTAATTAATTATTTTGGTCATATCTAGCTAGCTATACACCAAGCAATACATTTAATTAATACTTGGGATATTCTTCAGATAATGTATATGATTAAGAGGAAATAAATCCAAAAATATACTTAAAAAGGTTGTTGCGTCATTTTATTAACTAACAATTTAACCACGCGTTAGTGGTCAGATGTCACAATGCGTTACATGGATCTCTAAGAGACCCGAGTTGAAATCCGCTGCTAACCTAGATAAACACGATGCGTGGTCACCGGAACTTTCACATTCTCTCTTCGTAGTTTTCACATTGTAAAATTGTATGGTGTTACTTATATTTCTATTTAGTGATATGATTAATTATAGATGAAATATATCACTAATTAAAATAATTTATTTTTTAATTGTGTATATTAGTGGTTAGAAGTAACATATAACTATATGCTAAAAACTTATTTTCAAATTATAATCGACAATTTGTATCATTAATATACTACAATAATGAAATTATTTGTTCTCTTGGCATATAATATGTACTATTAAACTCATATATCATCCTTAAATCAATTTTGAACAAAGTTTACACTTCAAAAATTACAATTAACAAAAACATTAAAAATAAATTGTTAAAATGTAAAACACAAAATAGTGTTAAATAAAAATCACTGCGCTTTCGAAGCGTGGATCAAAATGTAGTAGTTTTACTTAAATGATCATTTCACTTTACTCCTTCTATTTATTCAATTTGAAATATGTGTAAGTGTAAGTTCTCTAGGAAAGCTTAGACTTTGGTGGAGAAGATGAAGTATGACGAGTCTAAGGGACTGGGGATAGAAGCTTCGGAGCGTCCTAAAAATCGTAGTTTAGTAACAACAACAAAAATTCTATTAATCTCAACCCACTATTTTTTATTAATTATTAATCATATCATTAAATAGAAATATAAATAATAACATACAATTTTACAACTTTATAATATATAACAATTATATATATATATGACCGCATAAGCTATGTTTGGTTTATAATAGATAAACTATATCACTAATTAAAATCATTTATTTGTAATTGTGTACTAGATTTTGACCCATCCTTCGAAAGGCCGGTATATGTTTTGATTTAATTTTTACATTTTTAGTTATTTTTTTGTAATCATATTTGTGTCTTTTTGTAATCAAATCTATTTTACAAAATAAAAGCAATTTAAAATCATTTAAAACTTGATAAGAAATAACATTTTAACATGCCCAAGTAAACTGCACGAAGTAAACCACTCAAAAGTCATTCACTGTCATTATTATTGTTGAGGAAACATGTATCTTATAAGGGAAACCGACTAATTATATACTCCTTCCGTTTCAATAAGATATATGTTTTAGAATTAGCACATATTAAGAAAATTTCTCAAATTTTGATTATAAATACATTGTTTTTTTTTGTTTAACTATTTTTCAAAAGTGATAATCAATTAAAATTCAATAAAAATAATTAATTTTCTTGGAATTTACTATTTATCATTATTACTTGCATTGAAAATATAAAAAAATATTTTTTTTGAAATAAAGAAATTTTCTATAACATGGATCAATTTGAAATGGAGGGAGTACAACAATTAGGTATCTGCTGTCAAATTATAGTGTGGCATCCAGCATGAAAAATATGATTACTTAGGTTTATTTGTTGTATATATTAATTAATAGTCGATCATACATCAGTCCTTTTGATTTCCGCATGCTCAAATAAACTGTTTACCTTACCCAAAAAATCATCAACTATTATGTGTATGAGAAAAGTGAGTCATTGAATTGTTGGAATTTGTTGTATCAAGGTTTTTCATTAAATGTCCTTAATAGATTTGAAATTGATAGAAATTTTGGTTTAACCAAACCACTTAGTTACACATAAAAGATAAGAATAAAAGATAGAGGAGGCCACGTGGGGCAAAAATATAAATACAGTTATATTTTATAGTTATATATTTTAGATATAATTGGACATAACTTCTATTGATTGGTCATGTTCCTATTTTAATAAAATAAACTAGATTTTGACCCGCGTTTGAAAGCGCGGAAATTTTTTATGATTAAAAATTTATATAATTGGGTTTTGTCTTAATTTAAAGAATGTTTTGGTATAAAATTAGTTTACCAAAATTTGTGGTGATAATTGTTTTTCATTAGTTTTTAGTTTCAGTTTTTATTTTTAGATTTTTGGTTTTTGGTTTTTAGTTTTTAAGTTTCTATTTTTGATTTTTAGCTTTTGGTTTGGTTTTTTAATTCTTAGACCCGCCGAGTTAGTTTGAACTGATATTACCAACACACAAATCTCAATTCATCGAACATGTAATTTAAAACTGAAAAGATGACAAAATAATTTTCTAAAAATTTGAAATAGTTTATTTTCTAAATAAAAAAAACAAAAAATATAACCTGTGTTTCAGCTTTTGGTTTTGGATTTTAGTTTTCAGATTTGGTTTTTGGTTTTGCTTTACATTTTTAAAAAAAATCTGTAAATTATTTAAGAAAAATAAAACAATAAATTATTTAAAAGTCACCATTAAAATTTATCAAGATAGAGTGATTTTTATTTAAAATAAAAAATATTAACATGTTTTAAAGTACACGATTAAAAGAAGTGATTAATAATAGATAATTTTGTTTTGTTGAAAATATTAAATATTTTTGGGCTAAAAAATATTAACATGTTTTAAAGTACATGATTTAAATAAGTGATTAATAAAAGATAATTTTGTTTTGTTGAAAATATTAAATATTTTTGGGCCTGAAAATACTAATTGATTTTTGATTCATTAAGGTGAAACGTTTATTTAATGTTTTTTGGAGTTTTTCTTTAGTAGTAAGCCCAAAAACCAAACAATTTAATGTCATAAAAACAAAAATAAGCCCAAAACTATATTCCATAAATAACCGCCGGTTTAGTTTAAGTAATTCGGTTCAATCAATTATATAACTTATATTATTTGTAACACTCTAGAAAGGGTCCAAATTTAAATGACAACTTGTATCAGTAGATAAAAAAAGACTCTATTTTAATAGAATAGATATTAACGGTTAGAAGTAACATATAACTATATATGTCATCATTTGCTCCTCATTCAAAACTGTCACATGGCTCTCTCTATCACGAGAGTCTTCTACTATATATATATACTAGTGATTGGCCTGCGTTTCGCGCAGGAATTTCGATATTTACTTATAGACTATAGTTTCTAAGAATTTTTATTAACTTTGTTTTGAGTCATTATATTGTGTGATATTTTGCTACTTGAAAGGTATATTGTTTCTATATGTTGTTTTGTTGCTTGAAATGTAACTGAGATGTTTCTGTAACATAAATTATTCTTCATCCCGGTTTGTAAACATATTTCTAATTCAGACGCCCTTTGTCCTACCCATGTGTGTCTTATATCAGGTCGCAAACTCGCAAATGTTTGTGCTAGCTGCCTATCCCGCCATGACTATTATGGGGAATATATGTAGTTATAAAAACGGATCAGAAGAATGACTTCTACTCATAAACTCGACATGACACTTAAAATACACTATCTTTTAAGTGGACTATGGTTTATAAATTGATCGGTTGACTACCCTTTCTTGAAATCGAGTTTAAACTGGCAATGGGAGTTTGTTCTTCAGACAGATGGTAGTATTTAGACAAATCTAATCCTTTTCGTGATCTGTATTGTTGGGAACTTAAGAGGCAACAGCAATGAAAGAAGACCAATTTAGCAAAGGCAATATCAAACTCAAAATGGAGTAATTTATCTACAAATCTCACCTACAAATTCTACACCTGATCTGTAAAGATGATAAGTGTGTGCAATAATGACAAAGAGTGGCGCAGTTTATGCGCCATATGATCATCACCAGTTACCCTATAAAGTGTGGAGTCGAGAAAATGCTCAGAATGTATAAACACACAAGTTACTGTACGCAAAGATACTTTTTTACAGAAGTCAGGCCTTTCAAATTCAATATGGTTCAGTAGTGATCATATTCTAAAAGTTAATGAAACATACAATAACCTCCTTGTCTCTATGCTT